ATGATACTGGAAGTAAGGTAGAAAAGGTGAAAACAATATTTTACTGAAGTGAGTTCCAGGGGTAGGAGGTGGAAGGAAAAAAAGAAGGCAAGACAAAATAAAACCAAAAAATAATGGAAAAAATTTCTAAATTCTGAAGTACATGTGTTTCCAGATAAAAAAAAAATCCCAGAAGGTACCCATGTGAATGCATAAAAAGCACCCCACAGTAAAGCCACAGAGATAAAGAGAAGGTACTAAAATCACTGAGGGGGTGGGAAGGGTGTCAATAACACTGTATTAAGGATTGGAATATCATGGACTGTTGCATAACAGCACCAGAAGGTGAGGGACAGTGGAGAAATACCTTCAAAATTCTGAAAGAACCCTGACTTCTACATTAAAGTAATCTATCAATTAACTGTGAGGGTAGAAAAAAAAAAATAAAAAAAAATTTTAACACTTGTAAAGATGTTACTTCCCAGGCACCTTTTCTTAGCACTAAAAAAGATGAGGAAATAAGCCAAAATACATGAAAACTTGGAACCAAATTAATGAAAAGTGCAGCCAAGGGAAGACTTAAGATTTTAAAAGTAAACAACAATTCATTTCAGAACCACTAACTAGAGGGCCTGGAAAGGAAATCTCCAGGAGGGGTGGCACAGGGAGGAGTGGAACTGAAATCGTATCTGACATGTCTCAGCATATTCAGAAATATATTGCCAGATCTATTGGGGCATGTAGCAAGAGTCAGCAACAGGAGCAGGAAACTAAGCCAAAAGCAAGATAAAATATTCAAGTCATAAAAATTAAAGCCTTCGCTTATAACGAAATAGATTCAGAAGTCATTACTTGGCTTACTGTGTTAGTAATCACTGTTAGCAATGATTGCGATTTGCTCAGTCATAATGAGGCAAACACTGAAGGTTAATTTAATCAAGAGTGGGAAACAATGACACTGAGGAAAGATGGTACTGCAAAGGACCTAAACTCGATTTTTTCTGGATAGTAAGTTGATACATAATGTTGAAAAATAATAAATAAACATAAGAAGGGTGAGAATGCCATTTGGAAATCTGTAGATAAATATCCTAAGAAAGACCTTAAAGAGTTGAAAGTGGTTATTTTGGAGGCATAAGGCCAAGGGATGGATTGAGTGTGTCAAACTATTGGAGTTTTCATTACAAGTCTTTTTGGATTATTTGACCCTTTTTAATTATTTGCTTGTATTACTTTAGGAAAATAGCAAATTACTAAAAATTAGAGTTGCATAAATAGTAGAGATTTAAGTAAGTTATTTAAAGCCATAAAGATAAAAAAAATAAAGCCAAAAAGATAAGTCATCAATAAGAGAAAATAAAATTACATGAGACTGACCAATGGAGAGAGAGAGGTGGAGAAAAAGAGCTAGATTGATCATTGTGTAGCAGGAAATCAAAATACATTCTTTAGAGAGAAAAAGTCAAATGATATAGTGTGTGCTTCCTCTTCAGAATGATTAAGCTAGCCAGTAGAAAAACTCAAAACAATAGGACTTAGGCAGAAGAAGAGAAGAATTTCATTTTCATTTTTTATATATACCTTTGTAAGGCTTGGATTCTTGTTCATATATACATATATATCACTTCTATAATTATAATTATGTGTAATTAACTAGAATTAACGAATATAAAGATTATGGCATAATTCACATCAGTGCGAAAGTGTCTCCACACCGCCCTCCAGAAACTGCAGGGCAGGAAATATGGAAAGACTCATGTTGCAGAGATTCTCCTGAATCTTCTCTATGGCTTGGTGTCCAGATCTGGAATGGATGGCGTTTGGCTTATTTGAGTACATTAATGAATTTTTGGATATAAAATTCCTGAGACTAGGGAAAGATGATGAGTTAAAATGCCTTCCCTAATAAAGTGAGGGGAAATGAGTTTCTGGGGCAGCGGGAGCAACAACAGATGAAGTCTGACAAGGAGAGATTTGAGAAGGGAAAATGGCAGACTGGAAAAGCCTGGAGACTGACAAGGTCATGCAAAGAAAGTCAGCCAGAAGATATTCCTGGTGGTAGGGAAAGGCAATGGTCTTTTTTTTTTTTAAGATTTTTATTTTTATTTATTTGTCAGAGAGAGAGATCACAAGTAGGCAGAGGGTTTGGGGGGCAGGCAGGTTTCCTGCTGAGCAGAGAGCCCGATGTGGGGCTCAATCCCAGGACCCTGAGATCATGACCTGAGCTGAAGGCAGAGGCTTAACCCACTGAGCCACCCAGGAGCCCCAAGGCAATGGTCTTTTAAGATCACAGTTCTGGAACATTCAATGTGGAAGTCCTGTCTTGCGTACCTAGCCGTATCGCCCCCCTGTTAACTCCAAAGCTTTAGTATAAGTCAGCTGTGAAGCTTTCTCATGTGATGACTGTTTTAAAGAAATCAAAGAAAAGTGGCCATTTTCTCTATTATAGATCAAGGTGTAGTGGAGAAGCAGAGGCCAGTATAAGTCAGCATGAACAGAAATGAGAATTCAGAGGAGGTGAAGGTTTAGAAGAAGAGGTGACTGTCAGAAAGACAAGTTTTCCAAGACTATCCAGAGCTATAAGAGGGACACATGAGGGATAAGCCCTGAGGAGCCCCACCCAGGCCCCTCAGTCCCTTCTACCATTTTTGTGTGTTCCTCTGCTGGTTTCCATGGGTTCCGGTTTCTCATGGTCCTACCTTCTCTTCTGTTGGTCTAGCCTTCTCAGGCTGCTAGACAGTTTTGTCCCCCAGAGAGAGCTGGATGCCCTAGGAACTTGTGTGTCCCTCCCCCCACGTAGCTCTTCACCCAGTTCCTTTACCTGGAATTGGGACAAAATGTAAGCAAATTCATAGTCCAAAGTCCCCTTTGGGGACAAGGCTAAGCCACTTCCTTTAGGACTTGGCCCCATCATGGTCCTAGGCTCCTTCCCTGTCCTGTCCTCTCACCACACTCCTTTTCCTGTTTCTCTTTAGAACACTTCTTTAATAAATTACTTGCACATGAACCCTTTCCTCAGGGTCTGCTTCTGGAGAATCTGGTCTAAGAGAGACACTAAAGTCGTTTTAATTGAAATATGAAGAAAAGAGTTGGAAGACTTGGCCATACTCAAGGGTTGGGTGACACAAAGATTAGGCTTTCAAAGACTTTTGATGTAGTTAATATTGGGTGGAAGGGATATTGGGCAAAACCAAATGTAAAGAAGTAAGAAGTTGTTCCAGAGAAATACTGGTGATCACATAGAGAAAGCAGGAGGGGCGCCTAGGTGGCTCAGTCTGGTAAGCATCTGCCTCTGGCTCAGGTCATGATTCCAGGGTCCTGGGTCTATGATTCCAGCTCCCTGCTCGGTGGGAGGCCTGCTTCTCCCTCTCCTACTCCTCCTGCTTGTGTTCTTTCTCTCACTGTCTCTTTCTTTCTGTCAAATAAATAAATAAAACATTTAAAAAAGAAAAAAAAAAAAAGCAAGCAAGCAAGAGACTTGGAGGAAGATGTGATATTTGGCCAAGGCAGTGAGGGACAGGTAGGACGTGAAGATGTGGGGTAAAGACACCTTAGACAAGGCACAAGTTTACATTTGCAAGGACTACATTCACCTTGTGATACAGTAAAATAGAAAAAGAAGTTAATTAGAGAAACATCAGGAAGTGACTGGTATAGGGCCCTAGTTTTCCATTATACCGGCATCAAAGTGAAAACAAAGACACTGGATTTTTTAAAAAAGATTTTATGTATTTATTTGACAGACAGAGATCACAAGTAGGCAGAGAGGCAGGCAGAGAGAGAGGAAGGGAAACAGGCTTCCTAAAACACTGGATTTTTGTCATTATTTATTTCTGTCATTGTACCTTGGCCAGGACGGCAGAAGCACAGGCTAAGCGAAGGTACAAATCAACAGCTCCACAGTATCGGTGGCACTAAGGGTATCAACAGATTCTCCTAACACGGTTTTTTTTTTTTCCCAATAAACAGTACTTAAGAAAGGATTAGTAGAGTTGCTAATGAGAGAAATGTACCTAATTCTCTATTTTTGCGAAGGTGGGGGAGGGTGGATGTGCTCGTTTCAAAATGGTGCTCTCTTCAACTCTCACTCTTGCTCAGTTGTCCAATCTCCAGAGACAACTTATAGATCTCCAGGGCCTTTTTCACGTCATCTGGGTAGGGGAGACACTGGAAGAATTTACTGCCAACTAGCACTTGCTCACAGCCCATCTGGAATTCCTACAAGACATAAAAGGATAGAGGTAGAGACCTCTCCAGCTGTGAAAGTATAGGGTGTCTTCAGGATGCCTCAGCGATGACAGGAAAATTAGAGGATCCTGCCCATCCTCAGGACTGGTGGAGGAAACCCAAAGATACTCTGTGTCAGCGGCGTGCCCAGCGCTACACCAGCTCTCCTCACGTGTGGCGGATCACTGTGGAAGCAGGGAAGGAGGAAGGTTGCAGAAGACACCCAGGGGGTTCCTTCAGGGACAAGTGAAGGAACAGTTCTGATGGCTGTGCAAAAGCATAGCGCGTATTATAGAAAACACAGGGCCAGGGGCCAGGTCACCTAGATCTAGGGAGCCCTCCTCTCTAGAGGCTTGGTTCTTCTTAGTATAAAATGAGAGAATTAGAACTCGCTTTAAAGAGCTCACTAAGTGTGGGGCTCCTGGGTGGCTCAGTGGGTTAAAGCCTCTGCCTTCAGCTCAGGTCATGATCCCAGGATCCTGTGATCGAGCCCCGCATCGGGCTCTCTGCTCAGCAGGGAGCCTGTTTCCTCCTCTCTCTCTGCCTGCCTCTCTGCCTGTTTGTGATCCCTCTCTCTCTCTGTCAAATAAATAAATAAAATCTTAAAAAAAAAAAAAAAAGAGCTCACCAAGTGCTTTGAGGCTGATTTCCAACGTGATTTAAACAACTCGTGCGTGGGTCCTGATACAAGCCTGATTTCATTAATGTTGGTTGACAGGGCTCTGATACCAGCTACAATTTTTAGAACATGACAGGACATCCTGAAATGTGTGGCACTTACCCACTTACACTTGGGCACTGCTGGGAACCAGATGCCGTTCTCTGAGCAGGTGATTTTTTGAGAGCCAATCACACCATAACCATCGTCACACTGGACAGTAACACTCTCAGGCTCAACCTACTGGTCCTTATCCACAGACAGATCTCCATTTTTGATCTCTGGTTTCAGACACAGAGCTGTAATGGAAACGCAGTTTGGATCATGCTGTGATTCTCAGAATAAAATCTTACAAAAGTGAAGAGTCCTGAGGGGATGAGAAACACTGATAATAAATTATATTTGCATGCTGAGAGTTGTTCTCTACCTCCATTGATTGTATGATCGTAATGATAAAATTAATAACAATAATGTTATTTTACATAACTATTCCCAAGATAAAACACTATTATTTTCCCAAAGGTTTTATTTATTTATTTATTTATTTATTTATTTATTTATTTATTTATTTTAGAGAAAGAGCACAAGCAGGGGAAAGGTCAGGGGGGAGGGAGAGAGAATTTCAAGCAGACTCTGCACTGATCATGGACCCTGAGACAAGGCTTGATCTCATGACCCCGAGATCATGACCTGAGCTGAAACCAAGAGTTGGATGCTTAACCAACTGAGCCACCCTAGCACCCCATAAAATGCTATAATTATCTCCATTTGGCTAGAGAGAAAAATGAGGTACAGATGGTTTATGTGACTTGTCTAAGGATGTATAACTTTTAGGTGACATGATTATAATATTAACCTAAGGATTATAGTCCTAGAATCCAAGTTTTTAAAACTGCTATGTTTTAAAACCTCACTCTTTCTATGATCCTAAGTATATAATTTTTATTCACATACCCTTAACGTCTTCCTGTGTTAAATGGAGTTAATGGTGGGAAATTAACCTCTTGAGTTGATAGCAACTATGATTTTAAAAAGGCACACCTAATCTTGGTAGTCAACCCTAAATCTTTTATTAGGGCAACTTCATCATGAGAATATGAATGGTATGCATGTGGCTCTAATGGAGATGTCAGACACCTCAAGGAGGTTTGGAATTTATCCATAACTGCAGTCATTTAAAATGAAGCAGGTGCTTACTAAAATGTTGCTAAACCCTCGCTGACAGTCCCAAATTAAAGATTGCTATCTCTGTGTAGAAACAGAACCATACATACATGGGCACTCAAATTGTGCCAAAGGAAGCAGTGGGAACTACAACCCATTTAGTAAGTGGTACACAATTAGTTGATTGTCCACTGGGGAAAACCAAACATTGATGCCCACTTTCTACCATACATACAAAGGAATTTCAAGTGGGTTCGCGATATCATTGTAAAAGATAAAACAATAAAGCTCTGTAAGAAACATAGGAGAACATGTTTGTTGTATTTTGTTGTTGCATAGAATACTGCCTTGCAGTAGGCAAATATTTCTTAAATAAGACAAAACAGTTTCCAACATCAAGGACAATATTAGTAATTTGAAATAAATTGGAATTTAGAACTTATGTTTGTCAAAACTAGAACACTTGGGTCGCCTGGATGGTTCAGTGGATTAAAGCCTCTGCCTTCGGCTCAGGTCATGATCTCAGGGTCCTGGGATGGAGCCCCACAGTGGGGAGCCTGCTTCCCCCTCTCTCTCTGCCTGACTTGTGATCTCTCTCTGTCAAATAAATAAATAAAATCTTTTAAAAAAAAAAAACTAGAACACTCATACTCTACTTGTAGAAACAGAATTTGTTATGACCACTTTTGAACAAAATTTGGCATCATCTACGAAAGATGACAACGTGTACACTCTGCAGAACAGTTCTACTGCTGAGCTTATTCCTAACACAAATGTTTGCACATGAATACCAAGAGACCTACACACAAGTGTTCATAAGAGCATTATTCATAATAGCCTGAAACACGAAAAACGTGAACTCTTATAAAATACACAAAATGTGATCTATATATCCAGAAGAATATTATAAAACCATGAAAATAAATAAACTATCACAATGTGCAAGGACATAGATGAAGAAAGAAGCCAGGCACAGAGTGCAAGCATGACTTCCTTGATACAAAGTTAAAAAGTTGGCAAAACTTATCCATGGTGTTAGAAGGTGGAAGAGGGACAATAAAGTACCCCCCAAGCTGAAAAGGCATTTTGAGACCCAAAAACAAAAGCAGGGCCCACCATGCAGTTTACACAGAGTTTTCTTCAGAGTAACTTACTGATGGGGGAAGGGGAAGAGTCAGGCCGACAAGGACCCAGGCCCTCTACAGCTCTTCTCCAAAAAGTCTAGACTTCAGTTCACAGATTTTTTAGAGCGAGGGGACACTGTATTCCAGGACACTGCAGGGAGACTGAGGGGCTCACATGTACCTAATTGACAGCTGACCTTTATTTAGATCTTGTGCCGCCATCTATACCTCAAAAAGAGGGAGGACTATTTTATCTCCGATTCATGCGAGGCCAAAGCGAACCTTCCCCTACACCGACCGGCCTTGGTGGGCGTTTCTGAGGTATGTATGTTACTCTCCAATGGGTCTGGAGCACATAACCACAAAAGAAGTCATCAAGCGAACATGAACAAGATGGAGGGCCAAAGATAGAGCCAGTATTTTCAGCGCTCCTACACATGGTGTTGGTAGAATGACCTTCTTTGGGGAGAGAGTCGGGAGTAACTGAGGGAAGACATGAGATGCTTCAAGGGTAGGTTCACGTTGTGATAATTGTTGACCTTCACCCTTAAGATTTGTACACTGTTCTGCAGTATGTTACATTTGGGATTGGGAGGAAGACAAACCATGAATTAAAACTTTTATTTAAAAAAAGCAAAAAGTGGTCCTCTAGATTACCTCTGAAAACATACACGCTGTAACAATGGTTACTTCCAAGACTGATGAGCTGGGTGATGGTTCAAACTTCGAAAATAGTGTACCATATGCATGTGTTAACTACACGAAATGAATAAATAGTACAATAAAATTTTTTTAAATGTTTCCCCTGGCTGGAAAGAGACTAGAGTCAGAACAATCACAGAGGTTCTACATTTCTAATCAAGGTCATCAGTGAGGTTGAAATTACCTTTACATTGAGGTGCTGGAAGCGACCAGTGGGAGTTCCTGCAGGTGATTTTGGACTCTCCAACCAGAACATATCCTTTATCACATTCATATTTTACGACAGTAGTATAGGAGAAAAATGAACTCACGTCTTTATGGGATCCATGGGCAATGCTCGGAAATATTCTGCAATCTTGAATGGTAAAAGAGAAGGGTGGGGGACAATGAGCTAGGGTTTAATTTAATTAACAACTCAGAGTGAGGGACTCTTCTTATTTTGTCAAATGAAGTAATTAAATTACACTGCAGAGGTATATTTCAATTCCTTAACAAAATCAGTAGGAATGGTTTACTGAGAACTTAGCTACTTGCTAGGCACTGTGTTAATCATTTTAGATATGTTAAATCAATTAATCCTCACAATAACTCTCTGAGGCAGTACGATCATCATTCCCATTCTAGAGAAAAGGAAACTTAACCTTAGAGGGGTCAGATGTTGCACATAAGGTCACAGCTAGGAGGTGTCAGTAACATGAATCAACCTCAGGGATTAAGCTCAGGTTTGTATCAAACTCAACTGGTACTTTCTGGAATCCTGCTATCTTCTGCTGTCTGTAGCGATCATTGGATGCTTACTTTATAGAGGCATCAATAGATATCCAAAGGCCATAAAATGGAAGTTTTGGTTAAAGAACAGTACTCTTGCACAGTCAAGTAACATCCCATAATTGATGAAGTAGGCAGCTCAGCATCCCTTAGAAAACTCCTAACTCCTTTGCCCAAATCAAAAGCACTAAAAGGTTAGGAATTTAATCTTTTAAATTCAAATTGGTCCCAGGTAAGGCAAATATGTGGGTGCATTTCTCCTTCAGACTGACAGAGGGGCTCTAAGGAGCTCACTGAGAAAGGCCAATATATCTCTTTTCACTTTGCAGGGATATTAGATACAGTGGCCTAGTATTGAGCTCCTGCCTGGGAAATCCAAAATGCAAAAGGGGGCTGTCTAGTGGCTCTGTTGGTGAGGGTGAAGGACATATTTCTGCTGCTTTGAGATTGGCCCGTACTCCTGACATTATTTGGAACAAAGGATGAGTAGCACTTCCAGTGAGTTAGAAACAGGTTGCATGAAAAAGACAGGCCTGGTGGTGTTGTCTTCAGACCTGTGCAAAAGGACCTCCTGAGGTTGGAAGAAAGCTTCAGTGAAAATAAATCCCTAGGAGTCCCTAGGTCTTTAGGAGATAGGAAAGAGAAAGAGATCATCCAGAATCAGAGATGGATCCTGGGATCTAGCAGACCAGGGGATTGCAATTAGCAGATTCTCAGTGATGAGGAAGGACCCATCAAAAAACAGCAACAACAACAACAACAAAACACAAGAGAGAAAGCAAACTTGAAACACTCTTGATGCAAAGAATCAGCTCAGGTCAAGCACTGTTTCCCTTACCTCTGCTTCTCCCAAAGCTTTAACTCTGAAGGGTCCAGAAGGCATAAGAACAATAATCCCAAAGTAAGTTCTGCTTTAGTATCAAGGAAAAGGAATTCACCTGTGCATGAGTCAACAGCTTCCATATAGCATTTCTTAAACTGCAGATTAGGCCCCTCCACAGAAATAAAAAAAAAAAGCTCTTAATTTTTATGACCGAACACACATGCAGAGTTCTGTACTATGCTTCTCAGGCAATATCAAGGAGGCATAATTGCAATGTACTTAAAAAGATAAGATGTAGCCCTGGTGTAGGAAAGACGTTAGGGTTTGAAGCCAATGGCCAAGGAAGAGTTCTTGTGGTGTCTTTGGTGCAAAAAAGTGGTTTTATGAAAGCATGGGGACAGGACCCATGGGCAGAAAGAGCTGCATTGGGGTCATGAGGAGTGACTAATTTTATACTTCCAAGTTGGAAGGGGTTAGGAATAATATAAGACTCTAAGGAATATGGAAGCAAGGTTTCCAGGACCTTGAGGGGGCTAGCTATTTTTGGGAAATGTCATTTATTACTGTCTAATAAAACCTTAGTTATGAGACCCTTCATATGTATATCGGTGGCCCATATGCTTAGGGGATGAGTGCCAACATGTATCTTGGGAGGTTTGGAGATTAAGGAAGTTTCCAGAAGAATTTTTATATGTTAAAGTAGGCTTACGGGATCAGGGCATTGGGGGGGGGTGTCAATCTAGGATTACCTTTTCCCCATGGCAAAGTGTCAACATCAAGGCAGCTGAGTCCCTAGAGAAGTCTCACTCTGCCTGTCTTAAGGACTTGTCAGTGGGCTGTAGGTAGTAAGGAAACTTAATGATTTTTCTTCTGCCTTTGTTTCCCGCATCAGCCACATACATAGTTGTACTACAACTCTGTATCAGTCCACTCTAGTGCCAGATTAGGTCAGGAAATTAGTTCTATAGGAGAAGGTGTTGGCAGGATGGAGGGAAGATCTCCAGGAGTAAGCTGGAGACAGGTCTCAAAGGATGAGTGGAAGTTAAGTGGTTGGTAAGATAGGTGAGGCAGAGCAATACTGGGGCCATGAGAAAAGTCTGGCATCAGAAGTCCTTACGGAGAGGGAAAGGACCTTCAGATCAGAGCACACAGACATTATCATTTCAGAGGGTTGGGGCCATGGGAAATGGGAAGAGTGAGGGAACAGAAGGAAAAAGGGGAAGGGAAATGGGATCATGAAGAAATAATTGAAAGACATGACAAATTTGATTAGGTCTTCCTCTATCACCCCAGACTGTGTGAGAGGGGAACTTAGAGATGAAGTTGAGAAAAGTCTCCTGAGCATGAAGTCCTTTATCTTGCCACTCAATAATAAATTTACACTGCCACTCAATAATTTTCATGCATCTGATGTGAAAAATCTTTTTCCAAACATTGCTTCCTTAATTAACCCATGTTTTCCCCTGACCACTCTCAGTGTTGAAGAAAGCATGGCTTCCACATTTTTAAATCAACAGGCCAGCTCACCTAGGAGCAGTCAGTTATTATTTTAGGGTTGGGGTTTTTCCCTCTAAACTATCTCAAATCCTCAACTTTCATGCCATGATAGCTGTTTCAGAGGATATGTTAATAAATATTTTTAGGTATGAAAATTAATTCTCTCAGATAAAAAATAATGTCAGCTAACAAAATAACACAATATAACTTTGGTTAAAGGACATTTCCATTTAAATAACAGAACAACAAATAAATTTCCACAGCAGCAAGCCTTCAGTTGGTTCTGGCAACTTCTCTCAGACACTTTTGTTTCTCATTCTGACAAAAATTTCCCTATGTTTCAATAACAATGTCTTACATTTATATAATGGTTTACAATTCATAAAGTACTCTATAATTTTACCTCAGAAAATTTACTCAGTATTTGATAACAGAAAATGTATTTTAGAATTTTTATTTCTCATTAGTTTTTAATCCCAGTATAGTTAACATACATTGCAATAGTAGTTTCAGGTGTACAACACAGTGATTCAATATGTCCATACAAAACCTGGTCTCATCACCAGAAGGCCACTCCTTAATCCGCATCACCTACTTCATCCATATCACTGCCCACCTACCCTCCTGTAACCATCAGTTTGTTCTCTATAGTGAAGAATCTCTTTCTTGGTTTGTCTCTTTTATTCTTTCTTTCATTGTTTTGCTTCTTAAATTCCACATATGAGTGAAATCATATGGCACTTATCTTTCTCTGGCTGACTTATTTGACTTAGTATTATCCTCTCTAGCTCCATCTGACAACAGAAAATAGTTTTGCTTTTCAGACGGAAATTATTCCTAATCAATAAATAACTAAGATTATGGATGGTATAATTAACCTATTTGGAAAGTAAATTTGTTCTACGTATCTTGGAGCATTGAAATACAGAAACTGATTTGAAAATTCAAGATTATTTTTTGCTAAAGCCTCCTCACGAGGAATTTTGCATATCAACACATTTTTATTCTATATATAATAATAGCTTCTACCTGAATTAAAACTATTTCCTTTTTATTCTAAAATTCTTCATTTTTATTAATACATAGTTCATTATACTCTCTCAAAAAGATTATGAATTACCACTATTTGATTATATTCAGTTAATTCTTAATTGGGTATTTGTCCTGCATATCTTAGAGAAACTACCCTCCTTTCCCTATAACTACTGTATTCACCACACAAGCCAGAAGGGCACAGCAGTAGAGTCAAGACCTCAAAGACGTACAGTGCTGGGAAACTGCTCTGCAACTTGGAGGCCATGGGTCTCAGAGGTGCTATACTGGGGCTCAGTGTTCTCAGACCCTTGAATTAATCCGAAGAAAAGAATTCTCAGTAACAATTGAAATGGTGCCTGAGCCAGTGTAACCAGCCTTGGCAAAGTCTCAGTTCTGTGTCACTAAAGGGGAGGGACAGGGGGAGTGACAAGAAGACCAGGTGCTGAGCACAGCTCTAACAGGGGTCAGCTGATAAGGCCCCATTCTTGGAGACAAGAGTCTGGAGGTTGTTAGGAGAGCCCTCTGGGATTCTGTATGTAGTTATTGTTGTTATCCTAAAACTCCCTTGCTGTTCAGATGGGGCACATGGTGAGTTCCTTTCTGGATATATCCATGATTCCTCTGAGTAAACAAGAGCAAAAAAGCACAGGGGAGTGCAGCCCATGATGGCCAGTGTATGTGGTGGGTTCTGTAGGAATTTGAACCCATAGCATGAGAGAAAATAGAATGTCTGCCAAAGGGTGCCTGTTTGAGAAGTGGTTTCTGTGATGAGAAGTAGGTGTAACTTGCCCATAGAAGAATGGATTTTTTTTTTAAGCTTGAAAATTAAATTTCTTCCTAGATAGTACATAGGCTAGGCAGAACAGAGTAGTATGAATCTCTAAGTGTGGAAAATCTCAAGAATGCAGTCCACACAATTACAATTATAATTACAATTACAATTATTATACTACCTCAGGGGGAACCTCTTTTCCCTAATTCCTGGGGTTTTTAATGTACATAAAACATCAAATGATTCACTCCGTGAAACTGACTGTTCTAGTGTAGAAGCTATTCTAGCCTGTGTTTGCAACACAGAAAAAGCATGCATTGAAAGTTAAGTGGTTGAAGATGATTAATTAAGGAGAAAGGAAGATTTATTATGACTCTCAGAATATCTGAATGATGCTGGATCCTGGAGAACCTAGCATTTTGCTTCTAAGCAGTAAACAAAACTGGATGGAAGGCACATTTGTTATTCTTAGACTGGTAACCTCTAGACTAAGTGTTCCATAACCATCTGGGATTGCCAGGTTATTCATCCAGATCACTTCCTAAATTTAGGAAATTAAACTTTGGGAACTTCAACTTAAAGAGTTAAGTGGGATGGATGAAACTATCAACCTGGATTCTATATCTTGCCCACCAACTGGGAATATCTGTTCCTTGAAGAGACAAAGATGGTTGTCTAAGCAAAGGAGCAAATTCTGAAAATTGTCCTCAAGTGATCTTCACTACTCAGCTGAACTGGAATGATTGCTACATACCGGTAATAGCCAAAATGCTTCTCTCTCAGAAATAAGAGTTACCAAATATAGCTGAACAAAATTCTTTGGAATATTAAGGTAAGCACAATTAAAATTCAACAAAAGAAAGCAAGTAAATTCACTGAATAGTTGCTTCCTTTAAAAAGAGGAACCACAGGGACACCTGGATGGCTCAGTGGGTTAAGCCTCTGCCTTCAGCTCGGATCATGATCTCAGGGTCCTGGGATGGAGCCCTGCATCAGGCTCTCTGCTCAGCAGGGAGCCTGCTTCCCCCCCCCCCCACCCCTTCCTGCCTGCCTCTCTGCCTACTTGTGATCTCTGTCAAATAAATAAAATCTTTGAAAAAAATAAATAAAAAATAAAAATAAAAAGAGGAACTACAATAAAGAGATTCATGTAATTTAAATGATTAATCAACATGTTTTGTTAACCTGCCTTTAATCTTTAAGGTCTGTAACAGAACTTTACATAAATTATTATAATGAGTTCTGAAAAACTCCTGTGACATGGCTCTTGCCTACCTTGTTGCATAGATGAGGAAACAGGTTCAGATAAATTAAGTAAATTGTCCCCCAAACTCCGCGGATAATTAGTGGCTAAGCCAAATTTTGACCCAAGACTGATAATTAAAATCCAAGCTTTTTCTTTAAACCAAAATAATTCGTATTTTTTTGGCCAGTAATGATTTCCTGTCAGGACACTGATTCAGCCATATGGGAGTATATCAACATCATTGGCTTTTACCCAATGGTACACCCACCCTCCAGATGCTGCTGGAACTGCAACTAATGGCTTAGACCCATGACCTCCAAAGCATGTACTGTGATGATCGGAGCTGCCTGACTCCTGATATAGAAAGTTATACCGTGCTCCCTCAGGAGCAACCAATGCCTGGCTGAGCTTGGGATACCAAAGCCCTGATTCCTTGATTCAAATATGGACAACTCTGTGATACAGTTGATGCCCTAGAGCCCACTGTGGATCAGGTGAAGTTTACACTTAACCTGAGAGTAGGTTTTTGCTCAGTTCTTTTTCCTCTTGTTGTTTCATTCCCTTAGAGTTCCTTCCCCGCCCCCTCCCCGAAATCACACTATCAAAACTTCATATGCACCTGAATACCTTCTAGAGACGTTGACTGAAGACAGTTTATACCACAAGTGGATCTAGGAAGCAAACTCTAAGAACGAGATTCTAGAATTGGATCACCCACTAGCCAACTGACAATCAAGACTCCCTCACTGGGGAGGGGTGAAGTATCAGTAGCCCTGGCTTACTGTAGCATTGCAACTATGAATATTTTCACCTGGTAAACTGTCATGAAGCATAGATGGAGAAAAACATATTGGCCAGTGAAATACCTCTAACATCTGAGAGTTGCGTGGAAATAGGACTGTGAAATTGGGTGCCTGAGGACTATTGATGCAAGCTCAGCAACCTCTTAGCTGAAAGTAAAAGTTCAAGGCACTCAATCACAATTCAAATCCAACTGTGAAGTCCAGGAGCCCCTCCATGCCCCCATTAGTATTTATTTATTTATTTATTTATTTTTTTTTAAGATTTTATTTATTTGACAGAGAGAGATCACAAGTAGGCAGAGAGGCAGGCAGAGAGAGAGAGGGGAGGAAGCAGGCTCCCTGCTGAGCAGAGAGCTCGATGTGGGGCTCGATCCCAGGACCTGGGATCATGACCTGAGCTGAAGGCAGAGGCCTTAACCCACTGAGCCACCCAGGCGCCCCTGCCCCCATTAGTATTTAAAGACACTCTTATGCCAGCTAGCTTGGAGACTGTGCTAAGGACCAGGGTCAGGATTTAATCATAAAACAATAGTAAAACTTCAGAAAAAAATAAACTCTTAGCCTTGGCAAGTCTCTACTTAAAGTCAGGACCCTAATGGAGGGAGGGGCACCCTTAGACTTGGCGTTAGGATATGCAGGTAGATGCACTACAGAACTTTCAACTCCAGATTTACCTAAACCCAAAGAGCTTATAAAATTGGCCCAGTTTCCCTTGTTATAAGATAGTGCCCCTGCTGCTTGAAGACCAGCAGAGGAATCAAATACATTGGGTATCTTCTAAGGTCATAACTGCTTTCCTCAAGATCTGCCCCATCTTACCTCCAGGCCAAGAGCTGAAATCAAACCTCAGTATGAACTGACTAAGGACATGCTGAGCCTACTAAGAGAGGAGATAAATCATATGCAGGATGTGCAAGACTTAGCATGTAGTAGGAGCTGGGAGAGTATGCCTTGGAGGGGATCATAAAGCTGGACAAGGGAGAGTTTGTCAGGATAGGGACACTGTTCCATAACACAAGATAACAATGCAAGTGCCCTGGGAATCAGCTCTTGTGTGCTTCTGGGATGCTTTTGGGAGCTCGGGGAAAATGATGGTCCAAAATGGTATAAAGATGCCAGAACTGCTAAGGCAGACTAAGTAGGAAATGATTAAAGACTCAGAGAAGTAGACATGTTAGAATGATCCATTTTAGGGGTGCCTGGGTAGCTCAGTTGGTTAAGTATCTGCTTTTGGCTCAGGTCATAATCCCAGAGTCCTGGGATCCAGCCCTGCGCTGGGCTCCCTGTTCTGTGGGCAGTCTACTTCTTCTACCTTGGCTCTCTCCCCTGCTCGTGCTCTCTCTCTCTCTCTCTCTCTCTCAAATAAAAATAAAAGAATGATTTATTTTATAAAAACCAGAAGACCTACCTGCTATTTTCTTCATAAGAACCCTGAGGATGACCATTTACCAGGATAATAAGGAACGCCCCAGCAGCAAGGACCAAGATTATAGAGAAACTCTATTCTGGCTAGCTAACTGTAGGTTGCATTTTTGGCAGTAGATATTATCAAATGTGACTATCTAATAGGAGTGGGGATTAGAGAACCCCAGGATAGGAAGGCTAAGTAACAGCACTCTACCTCCAGAAGTGGACTGGGTGAAAAGTAGTGGAGGGCCATGACTGAGTTATGTAAGAATACGCCTAGGATGCAAAATCAAGGAAGACACTCATTCTCAGGGTTGTGCAGGTACAAACCCTCAAAATGAGTGCCTCTTTAATGGTGAGGCATATATGGCTGCAAGGTTGGGAGGCAGCCAGGGGAGAGAACATCCTGACCTATAGAAATCTCTGAAAAGGTTAATAGAATATGGTGTTCCTGAGATAAGCTGCTCCAATAAAAGTCATGACCTTTTGCCCAATTATGTTTTTTTTTTTAACTTGGCAATTTTCTCACTCATTCCCAAAGACAGATTCCTTTGCAGAAGGACCATGTAACACGATAGCAAGTATATACAGTAATATTTCTCCAATCCTTTACCAAAGGAAACTTCGGTGATTTGCTTTAGTGAATGTGCACTAGGACCTCTAGAGACGTGTTGGATCTGAGCTGTCTGTGATTCCTGCGAACAAAAAGTACCACCACGACCCCAGTTAAAATAGGAGCTACAGGAGCCAGGCAATAAAATGATCCCTAGTTCATGTTTATCTCACCATGATTCATTGAGTTTATGGACCCACAAGGCAGTCATTTCTATGGCTCTCAAGTGTACACAGTTTGTGGCAGTTTGCAGGACCCTTACATTAGTTCTCTGACCTTTGAAATAAGAGCTATCAAAGTAAGAAAACCCATGTAAAAAGATCTACAAATGATATTAATACTGACACACTGCATGATTTTCCCTTAAGATTAAGAATCAAAGCACGGATATCTACCCCATCATTCATATTCAGCAATATATTGGAGGTCCTAGCTAGTACAATAAGGTAAGACAAATAAATAAAGGACACTCAGTTTGGAAAGGCAGAAACAAAATTG